TGAACTGAGGCCGGGGCAGGTGTTCTAAGAAAAACGGCCCGAAAAAAATCATCCGCGCCTTATGTTCCGAAAACGGCTGTAAGAGCTCAGGACACCTACATATGTACAGTGCAAATTGAACACATCAGTCCATTAATTTCCCGACATTCCCGACATTCCCGATGAAGCATATACTTGGACTATCGGTTCTGAACCCAACCCCGGCAATACTATCTGTTAAAATGCGGAAGGTGTCTTCCTTGTCACTCTTCAAGTGTATCTCTGTCGTTATTTTAGGGTTGAACGGTTTTGCATCTCTTGGCAGAGCAATTTACGACCCTAGTGCCATGGGTTCGGCTGAACGTGGTTTCGTACTCAGTAATATTATGCCACCTAGAGCCGTGGGTTCGGCCGAACGGAGCTAAAATATTACAGTCCCAGTGTTGATTGATTATTCCGTTATCCTCACTGCAAGCCATTTTTGGCTTATGTCGGAGTCTAGTGTTACATCAACCGTATCACTAATTTAATCATTCGGCAAATCTTTCTTGATCCTCCAGACTTCCACATTTGTTTTCTAGACCAAAGCAATTCATCGGCGTGGTGATTGGGTGCCTTCGTCACGTGAAGGTTGATGGCCGAAGTCGGCTGAGACGGCGAACGAGACAAACAAGATGTGGTGATAGGAGAACTGTACATAGGCGCTGCGAGGCGGAGGCAGCAACCGAAGGATCCCCAAAACGATACCAAGTCGCATCGATGTCGCTAAAGAGATGGTACTGGGCAGGTGCCGTGAACAAACGTGATATGAGAGCACACGAATTCAGGTCAGTGGAGGACGAGTGGAGGAAATCCGTGATGTAGTCGCAAATCTCTTGAATTCGGAGAACAGTATGAGCGGACGCATTCTGCTCCATCGCGATGCGAGGAAACGACTCCGATGTCATGTCACAGTCACTCCACGCTCTGGTCACGGGACCAACGAAACTCGGACGGCAGGCACTGTACTATTTCGACCAAGTATTCAGTCACTGGTCACAGAGGCCGCTGAATTGAATACTTTTTGAATGTGTCACGGGTCACCAGAGCCGTTGAATACTAGCTGCCGCACCCTTGTGTTTGAAATTTTGTAGTCTCAAATTTACAGCTGTTCCGGAAAATAATGAGACTCACAGTTTTTTTTGCGCTCTTTCCGTTTTGGAATGTCCACAGCGGAAGTGTCGTGAGCTCAATTCTCGGCACTGCAACATTTTAAATAATTAAAATCTCGCGTAGTGAGAGTTCATGCAGTGCCATCTCACACATCTCTGAGGGTTCAAATGTCATAAATCCTGTTTAAAGGAGTCACCACTGCAACACATTGCATAATATACACACTCTCACATGTACAGTTGGTCTATATCACCCTCTTTATAAAATTAAGCCTCTCTGAGTAATATACCCACCGGTGGAAAGTTCATTGACGGCCACCAATGGCCGCCGCTGTACCTTGGCGTACGCTGTTGGACATCGGAAGATGTTGTTGGACGATGGCTCCCACAGTTCGGCAAGATAAGATACCGACTTCCGGCAATCTCCAATGGCCATCATTGGATCTTGTGCTCTCTTCATCCACCAACCTCCACCGTATTCCACTGTATTCCACCACAGGTCGTTGTGCCTGTTTCATATCTATTGATTAGGGCTAGGGTTATTGGTCTTTGCACTTCGCGATTATCTTGCATTTTCTTTCCACCTGGAGACCTCAAATCATTGTTGACGCGTGGCACTACATTGGCCATCGTGATATTTTGTGTCGTTTATGGTGCAATCCTGCTCCCAAAAACGGGTCTCAGCCAGATCTCATCTTGGGTGAACAGGATGCGAATGGCGTCAATCATCAAACTCGGGCATTCAATACAGAAACTGCAGAGCTTGAACTTGTGGCTCAACGGATTTGAGTCTCAGCTGCGTCATATGTCTGAAATCAATTACGATTTTTTTGTGCATGTTCTGATGATGATTTACGCTGAAAAGGTTGAAAAGCAGGTCTTCCGGAAGAATTTGGGGCTATCCGATGAATTCTGGGTAGAAGCGGTGGGGATTAATCGAGGCAATTGACGGTTTCAAAAATTTTGTGATTATCTCAACCAATAAATCTATGTTCCAACAGTCGTAACACACACCAAAAATGTATGCTGAAATATCTCCATGGCAGAGCATTGGGATTTTTTCTGACAGAAACCAGTGTCCGGATTTTAGGGCCTGAGCACTTAATTTGGGCTGCACTGTCTGATCTGTTCACGTATCTCATTGAGGATGAGAGCTCTGGTCTGGAAAGAATAGCACACTGAAACGTACCCACTTCCTTAAAAACCAACCAAATCTCAGTTATTCAGAAACATTATGTTGCAGCAGCTGGTGGAACATTTTGATGGAAATCATTGGCTCAAGATCTGTACCAGGGACCAATATATTCCAACAGGATCCGATGGATTCCACAGGAACTCAGTCAAGTACATTGGCAGCCAGCTGGAGCAAGAGCCAGCGGAATGCGACAAGTTCCATTGGGGAATAGTGATATCAAGCACATTGCACTCGTTATTCGTTGACTTACAGGTCCACCAGGATGCAGTGGAGGACGTTGGATGTCGGTGGTGGTCCAACGCCGTGCGGTTTGCCACTGGAATCCAGTGGAGGTCGCGTTGGCATCCGCTGGTAGCCGATGCCGCATGATGCCGGCCAGTGCCGTTTCCACTGCCGCGTATATTACTGGCCTCTCTGTCTGAAGCCGTATCTCCATATGGTTATATTGCGCGGCCCAATCAAAGCGCGGGCCGCTCGGCACGACAGCTATTAGCGGCATCCAATCGCCATGTGGAACTTCAATTATATTTAGCTGTGCTCATATGCCAATCTGCGGAATTGTTGGATCGGTGAAATATAGTTTTTGTGAAGGTTTCTTTCTTGGAACTTAGAGTTTTTTATGTTTGCTGTTCTCGGCTTTTCATCACTTCACTTCACTCTCTTTATGAGATTAAGCCTGTCTGAAGCCATATCTCCATACCCCTTTTTCTTCTGAAAGGCCGCTTCTTTCTCTGCTCTAAAAACTAACATCAGCAAGTGGGAGGCGGCGCGGAGCGCCGGCGAGCACTTGTCATATATAAAACTGGTGTTGGTTCCATTCACCTGTCCTACTTTACTGGTGAAGGTACTCAATTATTTTTGAACAGATCTTCAAGGCTTGAATTGATTTGGCACACTTCCGCAAAGCAGTTCTCGAGATCTCCAACCCACTAATTACTGCTGCGTAGCTTGCAATGGATTAACTGAGAAGAAATTGTGTTATGTGACTTGTAATATGCATTTTAAATGAATTACCAGTGGTACCTCATGCGAAAACACGAGTCACTATGATGGAGACGAGGTAAATACCCAAAAAGATAAAGTCGCTACTTCTGGGAATTGAACCCACGACACTTCTAGTTTGGACATTCCAAAAAGGACGAGCGCAAAAAAAAAACTGTGAGTCTCATTATTCTCAGGAACAGCTGTAATCCAATTTCTTATCCGTCTTGCAAATGTGCTCCTTTTGAAGATAGAAGAACAACAGCAAGAGGAATTTTCATTTGGTTCAAAACTGAGTGAGCAAAAAAAAGTTATTCACCAAATTGGCCACATGCACGTAATATATTAAAAAATTGACCGTTGAAGCTGTAAGTAGGCACAAAATGACGGTACAGAGTTTTACTAGTTGAGCCTCTGTCCCATAGTCGCAGAAACACGACGATGAGATTTGTATGTAGTCAAGCTGAATGCCCGAACGAACCGCTGAGCCTCTTTTGGACCCAAGTCACTGCGATAAGCGTCCATCCACCGAATCATACGGTGTTCCCACTTGCGAATTATTGTGCGTGAGACAGAGGCAAGTGCGGCCGGCATGTTTGCTTTGAGGCCTTCAAAAGTGTAATCACAGTGATCCCGCAGGTGTTTTTTGACAGTACCCCAGAAAAACTCTATTTTGGGCAGAATATCACCAGATGTCCGGCATCTTCAATTGTTTCAGCAACCATGGAGCGTTGCGCAAGGAAGTCGGGTTGCAGTTCGAGCACCCGAGCTGCACAAAACCGCGCGGGGCAGTGTGAATTCCCTTCTTGCACTCCTTAACCAATTTACCCTGTGGCCACAGGCCACGTTCCTGAAGGATAACCTTCATGCCCTTCGGCTGGCCTGGATGCTCAGGATGATCAGCAGGGAAAACCATTTTTTGAACCCGCCGAACATATCACACATAAGGGCTTGTTTGCCGCCAGGATTGAGGTTCATACGGCTGACAAGCGGAGCATCCAGTCGATACATGCGATGTCCTTTGGAGTGGTCGACCATAAGGAGCATTTGGTACCCCGTCCGTGAGCGGCTTCGAACGCAGGAATGATTTTATTCTTGAGCTGGAAATAATACCAGTTATTCAAGGTTATTAAGTGAATGAAATGATGACGAACCTGCACAATGACTTTTGTACCATCCCAGTACCCCTCGTAGCTTTTTCCGTACTCCAACTCCTCCCCTGCATCTGTGATATATCAGATGAGGGGTTGCTCACCCTCGAGCACCCAGCTCTTTGTCGGGCCATCATTACATTGGGTGGTCATTTCATCGTGGGGAGCGAGAACAAGTCGCCGGAGCATATACTTCACGTCGTTTCCCATCCCCCATGCTGTGTACTTCTTTGCCAATATTAATCTAGTAGTCTACCTGGCACACTCCGTGCACGCTTGCTCCATTGGCGGTCTCTGAAACCTTGATTGATGATCCAAGTCAAGCTGTCGGTCAAGCTGTCGGTTACGACGATTTCAACCTGTATCGTCCAACGGTATACACTTTGTTCTGTTCTTATTTAAACATACCAACATTTGTTTCAGGCCACACATCCTATCCATCTCTTCGCCGCAAAAATCCAGCACCAGCCTTTGATAGCGTTGCCGCGTGCCATTCCCCCAACACAACGTGTTGCAGTACGGATTTGTTCCTTGCACACTATCGGCAGAATAGCTCAGTGGTAATGGCTTCGGCCTAGAGCATCTCAGGCCATATGAGAAGGTACTGGGTTCAATTCCCAGTTCAGCCTATCTTTTGCACTTTAACACAACGGTCCAAAGGTTCGTCTTTTGTTATAGAGGTTTCACATCATCTGTCTTATTGATGCTTCCAGGGTCAATTGACTGTGCGACCTGCGCCAATTTCCCAACTCCCGGCCCTCTCTTCCTCCGCCCCCACTATCATTTTGCCGGGAGACTCTTGCGACTCTGACTCTGATGCCAACTCAATCATCGACTTGTCCCACTCGAGTCCAATTGTACCGCCAAAGACTATGGCGAAACAGGAGTTCGGGGAGGTCATAGATCTTACGGGCAGCAGCGCTGCGCAACGTCCTCGACCACCACCTGGGACGATCATTTTGCCTAATTCCGACTCAGATGATGATGATGTTGTCGTTATCGGCCAATCATTCAACTCTGTCGCGACCGACTCAAAGCTTCCGGTGAAGGGTGAACCACTGTCGGATCCTTCCAATTCCCAACGCTCTCCCCTCCATGTCCTTCACGATATCGACATCGGGACCGAGTTCAACTCCTTCGATGACGGTCAGGCTGCTGTTTATGCTCTTGAGAGCAGTCGTGGGCATGTCTGGCGTATTGGACAATCGAAGAAGGTCAACGGTGTGACACGGAGAACTACCTTACGCTGCAACCACTACTATCAACATACCCCCACACACCTCAGCACAATTGATCCCTCCGACTATCGGAATGGGAAGACTATCAAGACGAGTTGCATGGCGCATGTAAATCTTTGCCGCAGCGCCAATGGAACTTGGCGCGTTTCTATGACAGATTGGAAACACAATCATCCGGCACAGCTCCCTCCTGGTGGTGTTGCAGCTCGTCCTCCAACACAGGAGCAACAAGCTCTTGTCTCAGATCTCTGCGCTGACACTACCGGTAACTTCACGCGCTCCCAGATCGCCAAAATCCTCTCCGACCGCTTTCCCCATCGCATTCTTGAACTTCGACAGATCACCAACATGATAAATAAAGCGCGGCGGGAAGCGCATGCTGAAGTCAAGAGTCTTGGTGGTGACATGGCAACTATCATTGCAGAGATCACCCGGAAGAGCGAGACCGAACATGGATGGCGCCATGCACTACGTCTGAACGATCAACAGGTTGTGGTTGGATTTTGGTGGCAGTCCCCCATCCAGGCGAGTTTCCTTTGTTGTGCTTCATTCGTCGTCACTGGGTTCTAATATTCCATTTTATAGGGAACACTGACCAAACGGTTCGGTGATGTTCTTCTCAACGACAGCAGTTATAATCGGAATCGTTACGGTTATCCCCTCGACATTGGGATTGTAATTGACGGTTTCGGCAAATCTCGCAATGCCTATGTGGGAAACCTTCTACCACGAAATATCGCATGATTTCATCCTCCGTGTAAACAATGTGTTGCATTTAGGTCTGAATACAGCACTAGACGAGCTCTGGAGGAATATGGCAAACGCCTCGCTGATTTCGGTCTACTGGAACCCATTGTTCATTCGCGAGAAGTCGAACATGAGCTCATGCGATGGGGTCAGAATCCTGAACAACTTGCTCTAAGAGCAGATACTGCAGTGGCAATCTTAAAACCGGGACAACTGGAAATATACAATTTTGCCCTTCTGCTGTGCTGAACTCGACACCACTATGCCTGTTTGTGGATGGAAAGGCAGGTCGACGGAAAACTATGCTGGTCAATACTCTATGCGACAAAATCCGATCCCTAGGAAAAATTGTGATTCCAACCGCAACAGCAGTGTTTACAGCGCAACTGTACCCTGGTGGGCGTACAACACACTCTGCTTTCAAGGTATGCTGTAAAATATGACTGCCAGCTGAATTTTGCAACTCATTTTCCCAGGTACCAGTAAACGAGAAAAATGAAATGCTACTCTCTCCGGTCGAACCTGGTGACCCACGTGCAGACCTTCTGCGTGAGGCTGCTTTGTTGATCTGGGATGAGGCCCAAATGGCCAACCATGCTGTTCTGGCCTGTGTTGATGAACTGTTGCGTCGAATCATGTGCTCTGACCTACCATTTGGGGGCAAAGCCCTCATACTGCGCATTATGAGCACGTCCTTTATTCCTCTCGGGTATAAATGGCAGGACTAATATTCTCTGGCATGAGTCGCGAGTGTGCTACTTTTTTCGTAGATAAAGTTGGACAGATCTCCATGTACAGGACTCATAGAGCGCCCTGGTTGGCACGATGGACTGCACGGCAAAAATCCGGATAGTAAGCAGCAATCTAGGGAGGTTGGTACTATACGTCATGTCCGATACACCAATAGACTCGTGAACCCTGTGTGTACTCAGTTGAATTCCTGATCTTGTTAACATTGAACATGCATGACTACCTTATGATTTGAGCTCACAATCATGGCTAGAAAATGGGGCTTTTTGGCAATTTTGACCATTTTTTGGCTAAATTTGCTGAAAATGGCCACTTTGTGATTAACGCAGCGTTGGATTCCTGCAACGAACCTCCCCGCACCGGCAAGCCGCGTCGACTCTTGTGTTATTTTCCCGTCATCCCCCGCCTACAAGGCTACTCCAGAACACCGAAAATGGTAGTAAGCGGCCTTTATGCCGCAAGTATCAGCAGTACCCGACGTATTTGACAGCCCTCACCCCCCGCCCTTCACATCCTTATATTGATCGTGTATGTATTTAATGGGTGCGGAAGGCTTTGGTTCACCACTAGTATCGTTGTTTGTCCTTCCGATGTAGTGGAAAAGTCTGATGACTTAGCCCAAATCCCGCTTTTCGCTGGATAGTGCACGAGGTAGAAATGTCCAGCGCTATTGGGTCTGAGCGGTGAAACCAATCCGGAGCGCAGCATGCACAATCACCTCAGCATTGTGTAGCCAGTTGCGCCGGCATTCCGAGAAATTTCCAAGCTTGATGTTCGGCACCAGGTTTTAAAGTTTTCGTACTCCTTTGCCCGTCCTGCAAGCTGCGCTATGTTCACTAAGCTTTGTTCGGTTTCGCAAAAGGGGCGATGGACTCGGCGGTGCCGTTTCTGACAGGCTTTATCCTGGGAGAAGTGCATGAGGCAGCAGATGAGATGCGGGTGGGCTGAGACTGACGCAGTAAAGAGTCAAAGCGCAACCCCCACATCGCTTTAGTATAGCGCATTGACCACATTCGTCTTCTTCAAGGCCTCCTTCAATTGTGTGCACGGCTGGCGAATGCTTCCCACAGTTTTCGCACAGCTCGGATGGAAGGAGCGGCATTTTGGTGTAGACTCAGTTGTACGAGTGTGACGTGGCCTTATGAGCCGGCCGCTTGATCGTGACATCTATTTCGAACTCCGCTCGTCAGTTGACACAGTATTGAGCCGCTTTAAACTCCGCTGTCGGCACCCTTCTCTTCACGCTGTAGAAAGGTTTGGGCGGAATTTGAGCATGTGGTAAAGCCCAGAGTTTTTGGACAGGCATTTGGGTTGATTATCGGGGTCGTGATACGACTCAGTACACTGGAGTACATAAACAACGATCGGTTCGTAAACCGGCAACATCGTTCAATTGCGTCTTCATGAGACTACACACACATAAGAGGCTGAGACTTCGATGAATGGTAGAGCGCAGCTCCATAGAGTCCATAAAAACCATAACTATCATTTGGGCGGATGTCGTTGACCAATTCTGGACTACTGCTACCGACTCTCACGCGCCCTGCGAAGTGTACCGTGATGTTATGGTGCTCTGTATTGTGCGCATTTCCAACAGAACAGCTCGCAACCGCGTCCCCGAGCTCTGGTTCGAAGACGACAACCTCATTCTTCACGCCGAGAACACGGTCTTCCGCGTCTCAAAAGGCGTTCTTGCCGCGCGCTCGTCTGTCTTTCGCGACATGCTGTCGTTTCCGCAAACTGTATATGTGAGCTATCAGAGTGATAGGGCAATATCCATCCAAGGTGTCTCCAAGGTGTCAGTGGGGATACTCAGAGTAGGGTATGAGCAGGGATTAAACAGCAGGCAAGACATTAATCAGGATTGAACTTGTGATTAATCATGTTTGAGGGACAGCAATCCAGGATTAATCCCGGATTAATTAATCTATAAAGGTGTCAATGGGGATGCTGAGAGTAGGGTATAAACAGGGATTAAACCGGATTGAACCTGATTAAATCTGACTTTTGCAAAGGGTACCCCTTGGAGAGTAGGATATAAACAGGGATTAAACTGGATTGAACTTGATTAAACCTGATTTTTGCAAAGGGTACCCCTTTTGGGTCAGTGGTGGCACCAGTTGAGCTCTACAGAATCATGTGGTGAAAGATGGCAAAAATCAGTCCAGTGAATCAGGGTACACTGAAAGAGGACTCACAATTGACTAGTCTTCATCAATAATGCACCCTCTTCTTCATCGCTGTACACATATCCCCTTATGACAGTGTATACAGACATCACACGACCAAAGATATGATTCAGGAAAAGCTCAGTTGAAACCGTGGCCCAAACACAATTAATCATAAGTTCAATCCTGATTAATGTCTTGCCTGCTGTTTAATCCCTGCTCATACCCTACTCTGAGTATCCCCACTGATACCTTGTAGACACCTTGGATGGATATGGCCCTATCACTCTGATAGCTCACATATAGTGTAGAACGGAGCTCTACAGTGTAGTGGTTGTGACCTCTGGTGTCATATATGAGTGATATCAGTTTGGTTCCTCGTTCGAACTCCACTTCTCGTCCTTTTTGTAGCGCGCAAAAATCAGGTTTAATCCAGTTTAATCCCTGTTTAGACACTACTCTCAGCATCCCCACTGACACCTTTGGATGGATTAATTACATAGGGTTGCTGGTATTTTTGATGCCATCAGAAAATGAAATTTCTGCCGAAGATCTCAACTTTCAGCAGGTCACCTGTAGCATTTGAAGTACTAATCGGACTGACCTAGTTTTTGGATATGTTATACCTATACATATATTCTGGTCAACATGACCTTTGGAAGGACAAAAATTCGAAGTCACTGAAATTCATTGTGCACTTTATTGAAACGGTCATCCTCCGCCTTC